GGACACGGACCCACTGTTCTCTGAACCAGTGGTGAGGCACCAACATATCCCCTGTCCCCCTTTATTCCTCAAAAATATACAAAGGCAATGGGTATCACCGGGCGTCCTTCCCTCCCAGAGGGGAACAGAATGCAAATTATTTGACACAGCCCCAGCTCTAACAGAGCTGTTGGAGGTGCCTGGGGTGGATGACTCCCTAACTCCCTTATTCTCGTCCTCCAAGCTGCCAGGGGATATAGCGGAGGCTTTAAAGGCAGACGATAAAAAGTCCGAGCTCTCCTTCCACAGAACGCACCAAGCTTCGGCATGGGCAGCAAAAGCAGCCACCTCCACCTCATTCTTTGCCAGAATTTCTCTCACCTGGCTCCGACAGCTCAAGGCCAGAATCCCCCTAGAGGAGGTAAGGATCCACCAGGATCTGACTAAGCTGATGGCAACCTCAGAGTATATGGCAGACGCATCCCTGCATGCCGCCAGACATTCGGCCCGAGCCATAGCCTCCAACGTCGTCGCACGACGACTACTGTGGCTCAAGAACTGGAGAGCGGATAACAAACACAAATGGGTGGCTGCAGCCCCATATAGCGGAGGGCGGCTCTTTGGGGAGGCGCTAACTCCCTACCTGGTAGAAAATAGGGAGAAGCAAAAGGTGATCCCCCATCTTACCAGAAGATCGAGAGGTGGTTCTTCCCTTATGCTCGTCGTCAGTCCTTTCGAACGGGACCAGACTCGGATTCTGGCCAAGCATCCCGGTCCTTTTTTACCAGACCGGACCATTCATTTGACAGGCCCAGTTACAGGGACAGGCCCTGACAGCAGACCCAGGGTAAGCAGCCCTTTCGAGGCAGGGGAGGCCGTCCCTTTTGTCGGTCCAAGTGACTCGGGGGGGGCTCTTCCATAGGTGGCAGACTAACCTTCTTCATCCACCAATGGGAGAACACAACGACAGACTCTTGGGTGCTCTGCACTCTGTCTCTGGAGTTTGTAACCAGCCCTCTAGAACGTTTTATTTCCTGTCCGCTGGTAAGGAACCCAGCAAAGAAGGGCCTTATGACGGAGGTCATTCAGCACCTCTTAAACATAAGAGCCATAGAAGAGGTGCCAGCGGGTCAAGTGGGAAGGGGATATTATTCCATCCTCTTCGTGGTCCCGAAAACCTCAGGGGGATGGAGGGCGATACTCGACCTCAAAGGTCTGAATTCCCACCTTGAGTATCAGAAGTTCAAGATACAGACGCTCCAGTCCATCCTGGGTAGCGTCAGACGAGGGGACTTCATGACGTCCATCGACCTTACAGAGGCGTATCTCCACATCCCCATCCTTCCGGATCACCAACAATTTCTGAGATTTTGTTACTCGAACCGTCACTTTCAATACAAAGCCCTGCCGTTCGGCCTCTCATCGGCTCCCAGGGTCTTCATCAAGATCCTGGCTATGCTCGCGGCACACTTGAGGTTGGTGCCGGTATACGTCTAGTGTTACCTGGACGACATCCTTATCCAATCGTCCTCTATTCCGGCCGCCCAGTCGGACCTGGCCTTGACAATCAAGACCCTTCAGGACCATGGGTTCTTGGTGAACTTTCAAAGAGTCAGATGGTTCCCTCAACCCGCCTTTTGCACCTGGGCGCGATAATAAACACAGCATCCGAGCCCTGGTCCTCAAGGTCCACAGGGAGCGTGTAGTGACACTAGCTTTGCTCTCCCAACTGTTAGGAAAGTTGATATCATGCATAGCAATAGTATCTTGGGCCAGACTACACTGCAGAAAACTTCAATGTTCTTGCTCCCGTTTCAGAGACTGGGCACCAGCTCCTCCAACCAAAAGGTAAGGGTTCCACCTCAGATCCTGCAATCCCTCCATTGGTGGACTCCCCAGCAATAGCCAGAGGGTCACTGTTCAAAGAACCCCCTCGGATCATCCTGACCACAGACACCAGTCTGTTCGGCTGGGGAGCACACCTCCAATCTCAGTTGGCTCAGGGCCGATGGTCCCGGTTAGACTTGAAGAACATCAATTGGTTGGAGCTCAGAGCCATTCATCTGGCTCTCCGCCACTTCCGCAACAAGATTGCGAGGCAACTGGTCCTCACGGACAATGTGGCGGCGAAGGCCCATGTGAACCGGCAAGGGGGTACCCATTCCAGGTCCCTCATGGCCGAGGCCCAGTTGCTGGGCTCTTGGGCAGAGAGCAACCTCCTTTCCATCAAGGCCGAGCACATTTCAGGAGAGGCGAATCGACAGGCAGACTTTCTCAGTAGGTCAACAGTGGACCATTCAGAATGGCGACTGCACCCAGGTCTCTTTACAGAGATTGCGGAGAGGTTTGGCCGTCCGCTCCTAGACCTGTTCGCTTCTCCGGAGAACGCTCAACTCCCGAGATTTTTTTCCCGATTCCCCTCTCCGGGGGCAGAGGGAACGGACGCCCTCCGCAGTCCATGGCCAGGGGGTCTACTGTATGATTTTCCTCCTCTCCCTCTGATCCCGGCAGTTATCAGAAGGATACTGCAAGAGCGGGCAGAGGTAATACTCATTGCTCCACACTGGCTGAGACGACCGTGGTTTGCAGACCTCGTGAGTCTTTCCACGGCTCTCCCGTAGAGGATACCCCCAGGTCGCATAGTTCTAACTCAGGGAGCCCTGCACCATCCAGAGCCCCAATGGCTCCAACTAGCCGCCTGGCGCTTGAGCACCGGACCCTGACACAGGAGTCATACTCGTCAGGCGTGATTAACATGATTCAGGCCTCCAAAAGGCCAGCGACTAATCGTATTTATGACAACACTTGGCAGAATTTCTGCCACTGGTGTGACAAGACTCACTTGACTCTCTCAGAAGTGACCATTCCAAAAGTCTTGGACTATTTATTAGAAGGCATCAACAAGGGCTTAACGCCCAATACTATCCGCAGACAGGTGGCGGCTCTATCCAAAGTGCTCACCTGGGACAAATTGGAGTCATTGTCTCAGCATCCCATGGTCCGCTCCTTTTTTAAAGGAGTCACCAACAGCAAACCGTCCGTGGTTCATAGATATCCCTCCTGGGAGTTACCGCGGGTCCTACAGGCCCTTACTAAGTCACCCTTTGAACCCATTAGAACCTGTACTCTGCAGTCCTTGTCGCTCAAGGTCGCCTTCTTGATACCCTTACCTCAGCTAGATGCATCTCGGAGCTGGCGGCTCTATCTATTAGAGAGGACTTGTGCGTCTTTCACAAAGACAGGGTGGTCCTCAGGTTGGACCCCTCCTTTATCCCCAAGATCAACACTGTATTTCACAGAACACAGGAGGTCATTCTGCCAGACTTTTGCCCTCACCCGTCTCATGACTTGGAACGGTAATGGCACACACTGGACATCCGTAGAGCCTTACGCTATTATATCAAGTGGACAGCGGCCTTTCGTAGGTCAGAAGCCCTCTTCGTCTCATTCCAACCTTCTTCTATGGGACAGAAGGTGTCTGCCTCTACCATAGGCAGGTGGATCAGGGCTTGCATATCAGGGGTATATTTGTCGTTCTCCCTGTCAGTTCCAAGTCATGTGATGGCGTATTCCACTCGCAGCGCTGCCACCTCTGCTGCATGGGCAACACAGGTATCTATAGAGGACATTTGTAGGGCAGCGACATGGTCTTCGCCTTCCCCTTTTGTGTGGCATTACAAGCTAGACAAGTTTGCCTCTGCAGACGCCTCCTTTGGTCGGAAAGTGCTGCAACATGTAGTGCCAGCACCCGGGACACAGGCCCCAACTGACTCCCTCCCATAGGGACAGTGTGGCTTTGGTATGTCCCATTGGTGGATTCTCCATCCATCATGCTGGAGAAGGAGCGTTGTCTTACCTGAATGCCTCTTCTCAGCATGATGATGGAGAATCCACACCCACCCCTCTAAAGGTCCGTTAGGTCTTGTATCAGGGGGTTGTTTTTTTCCTTTTCTCGGGAGTCAACATGTCGGACTGTCGTCAATAGCTTCGCCTTCGTCGAGACTGGGTGGTCCCAGACCAGGACGGGTGTGACAACTTTGACTGACTTAGTCTGATTGGGCAGGAAGACAGAGTCAATCCATTGGTGGATTCTCCATCATCATGCTGAGAAGAGGCGTTCAGGTAAGACAACGCTCCATTTCTTTATAAAGTTATTAAACTGGATGTTTTAAGGAAGGACAGGTGCAACTTTTATTGAGAAGGATCAACAAAAGTTAAACAGAAGTTATTTACCTTAAATCTTTTCACTAATGATCTTTAAGAAACATTAACAGAAATACAGATGTGGAAGTCTATATTTTGAAGTCAGAGATTCTCTAAACTCTTTCTAATATAATATTGATAGATTTATTTATTTATTTATTTATTTATTATTCGAATTTATATCCCGCCCTTCTCCTTGCGGACTCAGATGCCTTCAATTTTATAAGAGATAAATTTTCTTCAAAACAATGTTATAGGAATGTAGCTGGTTAAAAACCAAAAACTCAGTATAAAGAGGAACACAAAAAGAAAATATACAGATAGCTGACACAGAGCTGATTAAGTGAAGTGAAAAAATATTCGTTCTTCAGAATACTCCACTAATTTCAAGACAGATAAATTGAGCTATATTCTGAAGAGGTATTTTCTCAGGAATCATAGCTTACCAAAATTCAATTTACTGTGAACGTTTTGCATGTTTAATTATTTTTGAGATATTCTTAATAAAGCCTGTGTATTAACCAATAGAGTCACCTCCTGGCAAGAAGGGCAAAAAACAAGATAGATTAAGTAAGTAAGTTAAGTAAGTAAATAAGTAAGTATGTAAGTAAGTAAGTAAGTAAATAAATAAATAAATATTTCTTGTTTAGGAGAAAGAATTTGGGATAAGCATGTACAGCATTTCATTTCTCTCTTTGAAAGTCAGAATTTCTTTAAAACGTGAATTATTGCTGATTATACTTTCAAATGAAAATAAATATTAAACATCTCATATAAAATGAAATGCAAGAACACATAAAATTCATTTGTTTACTTACCTTGTCCAGAATGACTCGGACAATAATCTATGCTTGCCTGCCTTCGATCTTGTGGCTCCTCGCTTCCTCCATCTACATGAGAACCAAAACAGCACAAGAGGATCAGTTCAACAGAGAGATTAGGCAGCTACAATTTCTCTTCCACTACTATTACAGTACTATCTCTTAAAGACAGCAGCCTAATTACTCACAGGTAGTTCTCACTTTACTACTGTAATTAGGGTCAAATTTCCATTGCTGAGTGATACAGCTGTAAAGAGTGATATCCCATGCAGTTTAGTGATGGCAGTTCCAACTATTCAAGTTGCCAATAGTAAATCCCAGCATGATGTTATGTGGTCACCATTTTCAACCTCATTGAAAGTTGGCAGTGAAGTTCACAAATGGCAATCACATGACCACAGGGATGCTGTGACCCTTTCAAGTATGAGGATCAGTCATAAGTATCACTCCTTCAGTGGTGTCATAAGTTTGAACAATCGCTGCATGAGTGGTTAAGTGAGGACCACTTGAACTGCTATTATTTTTGTAAGCATTCTAATAGCAATACCTCTATGATTTATTTTTAGTGCCTCAATTACATAAGATCTTTAAAAACCACAAAAATAATCATTTTTAACTTCTCTTGATCTTTCCATAAACGTCTGTATTAAACCAGTTATTTTCTTATTCAAATATATGTTCCAAAGCATAAAGAAATAGTTGATCATATACTAAAATAAATCTACATTTGAGAATCATATAAATCATTCTACAGTGTTCCATCACACTAAAATTAGTTTCCACAGAGTTCAGTATTCACAAATATTTATTGTTTATGTAAAATATAGTGGCAGACCAAATGACCAAATGAACTTTTTTATGGAAAAATTGGAAGACCACATTATGCAGTTAAGATCACATGATGCTCATCGGTAATAAATAATTAATAACTACATACCTATGTCAACATCATACAATGTAGGACCCAAACCAAACTGTGCATTAAAATGCAGCCAATTTAAATGCATCATTATTCAAATTTCAAAGTCAGTAATAATTCAGAAGAGAACCAGTCTGGTATAATGGTAAAGGCATCAGGGTAAAATCTATGATACTAAGGCAAGTTCTAATTCCATTTTAGGCACAAAGACTGTTGAGTGGCCTTGGATCATTCAGACTCTCAGCCCTAGGAACAAGGCAATGGTAAACCACTTCTGAGAAAACTTGCCAAGAACTATTTCACAGAAGCTTAGAATATCTACTAAAAATCCTCTATGCTCAATATGATATTCATTGCTACCTGGTTCTTAGCAACTAAAATGATTAAAGGCCTGGAGATGAAAACATATGAAGAATAGTTGCAGGATTTGCGTTTGGCTAATCTAGAGAAAAGAAGGACTAGGAGGGACACGATAGCAGTATTCCAGTATTTGAGAGGCTGCCATGAAGAGGAAGGAGTCAACTTATTTCCCAAAGCATCAAAGGGCAGGACAAGAAACAATGAATGGAAACTAATCAAGGAGAGAAGCAATCTGGAATTAAGGAGAAACGTCCTAACAGTGAAGACAATTAATCAGTGGAACAGCTTGCCGTTAGAAATTGTAGGTGCTTCATCACTGGAGGTTTTTAAGGTGAGACTGGATGGTCACTTATCTGAAACCAATCTTTTTGGTTTGGTGGCCCAGAAAGGGAGCAGGCACCATTACATATGCATATGCATGCACAAATGGTCCGTGCACAAGCACATGTGCACAACAAATAGGTCCGCGCCCATGTGAGTGCTACAAATGTGGTGGCACTAGTGCCGGCGGGATGCTCGGGGAGGCGCTAGTGCTGCGGAATGCTCAGGGAGGCGCTAGTGCTAGTGGGACACTTAGGGCAGCACTAGTGCTGGTGGGATGCTTGACGTGGGGTGGCACTAATGCCGGTGGGACTCTCGGGACAGTGCTAGTGCAGATGGGACACTCAGCATGGGGCAGTGCTAGCGCCGGCAGGACGCTTGGGGTGGCAGTAGTGCCAGTGGGATGCTCGGGGTGGTGCTAGCGCCAAGGGACACTCGTAGTGGTACTAGCATGAGTGTGGGGGTGAATGAGTACACACACGTGTGCACTAGCCATCCCTTCACGTGGCCTGGTTGCCCAGAGGCCATGGCCTGGTATAGTGTCTCCTGCTAGTATCACAATTGTAATTGGTTCTTCCAAGGCAAGAGACTGCTCCCTTCAACTGCTCCACCCATCTATATCCCCCCTCTCCCCCAATTTCTGATCTTTTGTGCCTGCCCTGCACAGCCTAAACTGGCCACTGTATTCTCTCACTATCATGTTATTCCTACCCTTTGCTGGGCTTACTACCTCCACTAAGCTGTCTCAAGACCTGAAGCATGGCATGGAATTCCTGAGCTGGAACATACCAATAAGCACCATTGCTGCAGTGCACAAAGATGGCCCAGAACTATGGCTCAGTAAGAAATCTCCAAGCCATGTGGTTCTGGTATTGCTTGCCACACCATGGCTTGAGGGGCTTCTGGATGCACCCTCTGGGTGTTTTTTTTTTTTTTTTGCCTCAAGTAGTCTCAAAACCATTGCAAGGCAAGGAGCCTTTGAGCCACATTGCAGCAAGAAGCACCTGCTTAGGAGCCCATCTCATGCCATACTCCATTGGTAACTTACCAAATAAAAAGCACCCCACATTCCCCCAGGCCCATCTTGCCCCTGACCCTCATACTCTGGGGTGCCATCATTGGCTTATGGAACATTTCCCCATGTATAGCCAAGATGGTGAGCCTAGTGGAGGGGGGGGCAGGCAAAGACAATAATGATCAGCTGGGGGACTTGTGGTGGACAGTTGTAAATGCAGGCAATCTCAAAAATTTTATCATGTGACCATAGTCGCAAGTCCACTTTTTAAGAACCATTGTAACTTTGAACAGTCACTGAATGATTGGATATTAAGAAAGGGTTATCTGTAATTCTGTATCTTTTTTAAGCCGTCTCTTTTAGGGTGAAAATATGTTAAATTCAGGGTCATCTCCCTTTTGAGTAAATATGGTTCTAGTAGGAAAGGTCTACTACCAATGTATGAAGAAGTGAATGACAATCATTAAGCTAGGTCACGGGTCGGCAACCCGCAGCTCCGGAGCCGCATGTGGCTCTTTGAGCCTTCCCCTGCGGTTCCTAGCCTCCTCCACCATTTGCAGAGAGAGAGAGAGACAGAGACAGAGAGAGGCACTTGCACTCCCCCCCCCCTCTGTGTGTGTGTCAAAAAGAGAGTGGCCTCACGCTGTTCTCAGACAAACTGATAAGCTTATTGGGTGGGGCTCCTGCCTTTGCTGCGTCTCAGCAGGAAGCAGCAGAAAGCAGCAGCCCTCCCTCCCTCCCTCTCTCTCTCTCTCTCACTGAGTGGGGGAAGAGGACTGGCAGACCAAGGGCAGGAGAGAGCCATCCCAATAAGAATGTGTCAGCTTGTCGGAGAACAGCATGAAGCCAGCTTGCTGGGTGAGCAGAAGATCGGAGAGAGGGGGGGAGGGAGACAAAAAGAGGGAGAGGGAAGAGAGAGAAAGAGAGAGAGAGAGAGAGAGAGAGAGAGAGAGAGAGAGAGAGAGAGAGAGAGAGAGAGAGAGAGAGAGAACTCATGCACAGCAGCCTCTATTTTTTTTTAATTAAACTCTTCAATCAAGCTCCCCTCTTTGTGTGTGTGCGCACGCATGTTTTGCGGCTCCCAGTTTTTCTTTTCTCTGGGAAACAGGTTCAAGTGGCTCTTTGAGTGTTTAAGGTTACCGACCCCCCGAGCTAGGTGAATCTTTAGGATTATGTGTGTGGCAGAAGTATGTGAACCTCTTCTTTAGCGCATTTCTTTAGATGCAAGTGACATATTTTGTGCCTGCGTCTCAACCAGAATGGCTTGCCATCATTGATGCAACTTTGAATTCTAAATTGTATCAGCAAATTCTATAGCAAGATGTAAGCAGTAATGCGATTCAGCTGGTTCGTACCACTTCGGCAGAACTGATAGTTAATTTTTTGTTGCCCAGGCCCAGAATGGACTTCTGGAAGCAGGATCCACACAGAAAACCGGTTGTTCACATATCTGAATCTCACCACTGAATATAAGGTATCTTATCCATGATCTAAAGCTCAATAGAAAGTGGATGATGCAGCAAATGACCAAAATACACAAACCATATGACCAAAGAATGGTTAAAATGGAACTTAATGTTTTGGAATAGCCAAACAGGAGTCCTAATTTGTTGTAGAATGACCTGAAGCCGGTAGTTCATACAAGGAAGATCTCCAATATTTCTGAGTTGAAGCTGTTCTGTAAGGAAAAAAAGCAAAAATTCCTCCAAGGCAACGTGCAGGGCTATAACACTTATCAGAAACATTGCTGTGCAAAAAAGGCACACCAGTTTTTGACAGCAAAGGTGCATATGCTTTTGCCACACACACAAATATGTTCTGTAGCTTTGAATACTTTTCTTCAATAAATGAATAAGTAAAATGTTTTGACTTATTTCTTCAAGAGGGTTGTCTTCATCTAGTTTTAGGATTTATGTGGAGAACAGATCATATTAGGGTCATTTTTATGCAGAAAGTGAACATTCAAAGAGTTCTTAAACTTTTAAGTATTATTGCATTGCATCAGAGTACAGTACACAGCAAATGGTACCCAACACACAACATACCTAGTAGTGGTGTTAGATAAAGATGTTTCCTCTCAACCAATTGCCATTTGTACACATGCCGTGTTATCTTCAAACACTGATTTAACTCTTCACCTCAATATTCAAATCCTTCAACAATAGTACATTTTCTTTTTTGACTTAGAATATATTCTCCGTCTTGTAGTTTCTTTATTTCTGCTCCTAAATAGTTCTTTGTTTCTCTTAGAATCTTTGCATTTCTTTTGTTCTATCATAGATAAACCAATATCTCCTGGCAATTTCAAGGCCCACAAAAAAATGACACGTACCTTCACCTTATCTCTTGTGAATCTTCTTGGAGGAACACCTTTGTTTGCTCTTTCAGACTTCCTTGGAACAAACTGTTTCACAGGGATCTCATTTTCTAAACATTTCTCTGAGCTATTCTCAG